TGTCAGAGGTAATTTCTCAAAGCTCTGCATGGGATTTAAAGGGAGCCATATGGTTAAGTCTGTCGACCCTCCCAGAAAGCATCCCCCTGAAGGGCCCTCATAAATGTTCTTGGGGCTGTGAAAGATCCAGCAACTTTCTAACAATAAAGCTATGTTCATAGCCGTGATATTCAGCAAAACACAGAGCAGGAAATAATGGCTTCTGGTCTGAATTACTCAAAGGGGCCTACAAGTTGTCCTAGCTAAGGGAGGAGGAGCAGGACAGCCTGAGACCTGGCCCTCAGCACCTCTAGCAGGAAAGAAGCCAGCCTGCCTGTCCCCAGCATTATTAGTCTAGGGTGGACAGTGGTGGTCTTAGTTGTGCTCAGGTTGGCTTGAGGCATTGAAGAAAACTCATAATAATGGATTCAGACCCATGCATCTTTACAGAGTTGCTCTGTTATTTGGATCTTTAAGCTGTGCCTTTTGGTGGACTCATCATTTACTGACCACTCTCCTTATTATGTATTTATTTTTTAGAGAAACAATGGCACAAACCATTTGAATATACTAATATTCCTTCTTGATAGCACTTGGGGTGACCTATCAATTTACACAGTGATGCCTTACAACCTTCCTTGATTGAAGAAATAGCACTGCTTTTGACGTCAAGTCCTGACTTGTAATAAGCTTTCCTTTTAATTACTATTAATGGTTTTCTGTTTGTTTATTTGTTTTTCTTGGGCATGCCCATCGGGCCACATCTGCCTGGCACACTGTGTCAGGGTTGCAGAGAGAAAGGGGATAAAGAATCATAGTGTGAGAGGAGGTATCACTTCTAATGAGCAACAGAACCTTTTTATTTTTACACAAAACAAGATTTGTTTCCATAATACTTTACATAAAATTTAAAAGTATTAATTAAAGCATTATCATATACAGAAGTTTCTAAGTATTAGATCCATACTGCCTAAGTACAGCCCCATGCAAATGGGATTTATGACCAAATGTCTAAGAGCTAAATATCTCGAGGACACTTATACAACAGAATTAGAATTGGTGTAAAATCAAGGAGGCATTCATACATAAATGGCTTCCTATATGCATATTTCCAAGTTTCCTGATATAGCTGGCTAAGTCACTAGCTTAACTAGAATATTCCACGCTTGTATGTTGATGTTAGATGCATAACACTTTCACTGTAAACAATCACTGTTAAGTAATTCTCGCCAATAATCTAATGAACTAATGCATTTGCCTAATTCCTTACAGAGAATTAAAAAGCATGAAGAAAAGTTATAGACTATTTGGGCCGTACTTCCCATAACTGTCAGAGCGCTATACTGCTATCCATTCTTGTAGAACTCTACACTCCATATTACCTTCATTGTACTCCTAAAGAATTACTGAGCATGAATTAAAAGACTCTCTTAGGAAAGCTGGGATCTATTAGGATTGTTGCCACCTACTCAACTAATCATTGCCTCCTAAAAAAAAAAAAAAAAAAAAAAAAGGTCTCATGTGATAAAAGATCCAGAGACAGGCAAAGAAAGAATTTCCACTACCCTTACCTGCTCATCCGCCATTTTTCCCAGGCTCTGCTGACTTGATCCTGAATTAATGAGCCTGTTACATGATATCTAATAAAAATGACTAGAGAGAGATACTGTTTGGAATCTGCCACATACTTGGTTCAAGGCTGAATTGATTTCATCTCTATTAACACATGCTTATTTTCTGTCTCTCTTGTCTCCACACAGCCCATGCCTCACTCCCCCCACCCACMCCACCCCACCCCAAGTCTGGGAAACTTATCTTCTAAAATTCTACCATCAATCAGCCAATGACACTCTTCCCGACAGAGCGTCTGCCAGTTTGACTGAGCACAAGTAGTCACTAGTTTGGGGATGCCTCCCACACTCCCTAGAGCTGTGTGTTTTTCTAGCCTGCCTAACCACACAAGTGCAATTTGGGATATTTATACTTACCTCCAGTTTCTATTGAGATAATAGCACTACTTTTACAGAATGGAGTACAGGGCATAGTGAAGGTTGCATGAGATAGGATAGAAGTGCATATTTTATTTTTCTATCTACTATTAACACTGTTTATTTGGCTTTTTGCATTTTCACTCATTTTAGTGTGCATGCCCTGGCTCAATGCCTTCCCCCAAAGCATAAAAATCAAAAGATTCCAAGGACATGTACACTTGGGCCCCAGAGCTTTCTCTGGTAACTTGTACCACGATCATTTTTCAGTTCTTTATGTCAATATCACTCCCGATACATTCAAGCCTCTAAGCTTAAATTTTATAGCATGCAAAGAGGAAGAAAGAAAAGAGAAAAAGTAGGGTGGCCATAGAATCCAAGCACCAGTAAGGGAAAGAAAGATGGGGGACCAGGAGCCAGGCAGTCCCCCTCCCACAAAGTTCCAGTCATGAACACACCCGCTGGCCACAGCACAAGAGCAGTGTGCGAGGGCACAGGTGGGTCCCAGCCACTCTGGCTGGATGCAGCTTACACACTGAGCCTGAATGAAGACTTTCATTGCTGTTTGCTGTTTTTGTTGGCCAGTAGCCATGGCAAACATTTGCAGGTGGCTTGGCCAGATTTTGACACTTAAATATTTGAGGTTGTGATAAAAATCAGAATATTACTACAATATGGTTCTGTGCAGCCACACACATGCGCGTGTGCATGCGCGTGCACACACACACATACACACACAGAGAGAAGAATAAAAAAAGCTATCTACAATTTCAAATGCTCATTTAAAGACAGAGTCTCCAGAGGGAACTCATGTTTTAAAATAAGTACTCATTTCCTCTTTGCTGAGAGAAATAAAAGAGTCAACCAACCCCAAATGTTACCACCTAGAGTTTCATACTGAACCCACTGGTGAGATGGGCTGGGCTGTTTCTCCATGAGCCCCCACGATCATCCGGGCAAGGTTTTGGATGGGTCACATGGAGGAAAATGGAAATGACAGGATGTGTGGGTTTGAATCAACATAGTAAGCACAACAGGGAAGAATCCGAAGAAAAGAAATAGCCTCCCTCCAGCCTTGGCAATGAGACAGAGTCCTAAAAGTGACAATTATCCCCTAGAACACACCAGGAGAGATACATGAAACCCCAAGATGGGGATTAAATGGGAAGAGGGAGTGCGTCAGGAGGTCACCCGTACCAGAGAGACACCCCCATCCATCCAGGCAGAGTGACACAGTCTATGAATGTCACCCAAATGTACAGTCCTGGGCTAGCTGAGTACATTATTGACAGAGTCAACACCCATCTAAAAATTTAGTGCTAACCCTTAAAAAGACTGTTTCATAAAAACCCTCGCTGTACTAACAATGGYGGAACACTAAGGGCCTCCAAGAGGGTAGTTGGTGAGGGCAGAGGCGGGCAGGCAGGAGAGCTCCAGGGGGGAAGGAATGCTGTAAAACGGCTAGTAAACTCCAGCACATTTTATGTTTTTTTTTTCCCCTTGAAAGAAAAATAAAATAATTATAATTAGCTGGCCTAACGGTAAATTGTCTGCCCAGACCCAGACCCCCTAAAGTGCAGGTGTCCCTTGAGATTTGGATGCTGTTGTTAATGAATTGGCTCCACCCTCTTAGTACATGATGGATTCTTGCATTAGATAATGACAATATTTTTCTCCCATAGTCATTGAGGAAAAAAAACAAACAAACAAGAAATCTTTAACAGATAACTTGCTCATTTAGCATTGACATCTTTAAACAAAGCCAAGGATCCAAAGGGCCAGATTGATTTTCCCTTTCTTCAMTGGGAAACCAAATGTGCCCATGGCAAACTCACAGAAGGTGTCAGAACGCATCCTGATATACCCAGAAATGTGAGTGCCAAGGTACCCAATTCTAGAGTATTCTGAGAGGGGTGGGCCAGTGCTATCCTCCATGCTCACATGATCTGGGATCTACTACAACATTTAAAAAGTGTCAGGGGCAGAGGTGTCACATTGACAAATTGGGGGGAAACTTCTAAATTTTTTCAAAAATCACCATATCCATTCATCAACAGAAAATTCAAACTGAATACTGATGCATGTACCCACAGAGAAAGCTCCTCTTCCTGTTCTAAGTAGACACTTCTGGGAACATAGAGCAACCAGTTGTCAGCATCGAGCAATACACATTTATCATAGCTCTTTGGCTTAAGTTATTACCTTTTTTTCCTAAGAACCCAATGTGCTCTTTAATCTTTTATTTCATCTTTACTCTTATGAGGTTGGAAATAACAAACTCCATCCTCATTCTGGAGATAAGGAAGCTGGGCCAGAGATTCTGCATTTCTAAGAAGCTGCAGGGTAATGTCCAGGATGCTGATCATCAGACCATGCGGTGTAGCAAGCAAGAGTTGGAACTGGATGGTGATACTGAGAACTGAGAGCAGTTTGTGTCACATGGCAAGGGGTGTCTGGGATTCGATGATGGGACATGTCTATCATTTTTTCCTCAATGGCTCAGTGTTGTCTTTTTACATAAATGAAAGGAAGAGGGCATGCCTTGGTTTGTCTATTCTGGAAATGAGCACGCGGCCAGTGTAGAGGAGGAAGAGATAATAAGGTGGTATTAACAAGGAAGAGAGGTAGGGAAGAAGGATCAGGGGAAGGAGGACTGTGGGAATAGCCAAGCAGCACAAGTGTCCAGGAAGGGAGAGGTGCACTCTGCTGGGAAGAGGCTGGACAGCGGACTTCCCTCCACCATCATCCGGCACTTGTCCGGAGCACTCTGCTCTGGTCTCCATACCACCAGAAAGTGTACCTGCAACCATTTTCAAGTTTACAAACAAGGACAGAGAACAACTTGCTTTCCTCCTCAACATCCAGGATCATAATAGCCTCCGTCAAACAGGCTCCCTTTTCTCATCAAAAGCATCACTGTGAATTCTCAGCAGTATCACATCAGCCAGGAAAACCAACCAATCTGAGCACCAGAATTTAGGAGAAAGTCCACAACATTCCAAGGACCAGAGACAGCCTAGGAGGTCTCCTTACCCGATCTGGCGGTTGGTAGAAGGTGCCTGTGTGATGACAGAGCTGGACTGGGGCGATGGCATGGCTTGCTGAATCACAACGCTGGTGTCATGGTTGGGCATCCGGGTACTGCCAAGCTGGTGAGCTCCGGGCCCCGTCATGGCCCCACCGACTGTATTGTGCATCGGAATATTCTGCCCAGAGAAGACAGAGGAGAAAGGTCAGAGGGAGGTGATGTTTCTTTCTACTCCCAAGCTCTCAAAGGCCAAAATTGGGAATCTGGTCATGTCAACTAAATAGAGAGTTACGGCTTCTGGCAAGCCTTGGGCCCATTCATCTTGTAATAACTTACAGCTACGAGGAGATGAAAAATAACTACTCAGTCTGAGAGTAGAGCACAAAGGGAAATGCCCCGAAGTTGGCTTATCACTCTGCCGCCATCCTGATGCGAGGTTTACATCAGGGATATTTAGTGCTTACCCTCTCTGACTCCATATGATATACGCTGCACTTGAAAGCCATTCTGCGGTAAGTGCATAATACATGATTTAGCGAATTTGGTTCTGCATCCTACTTTGAATGACAAGCACACTGCCTTATTTCTTGGCTTTCAGTCCTAGAAGAGTGGCCAACTCGATTTTTTTTTTTCCTTTCCAGGAAACTATAACTTTTCCAAATCCTTATCGGAGTACTCAACAATCCGTAGAATGAAGATGGATGATTCGAATAGCCGACGGGGCATCAGGGATCCCTGACAAGAGTCACAGTCACAGCATTCTCCACCTCCATCAACTCAACCTCCAACCATTGCATGGAACGCCAGAATGGAGAAGAGTGACTGCTTGTGTCTTTACTTGATCACTGTCCTTTCCTCTAGAATGTAGGAAGTGTGTGTTCACAACTCCATCCCATGGTGTTTGAAGCATGGCAGGGGTTCAAGACACACATCATGTGGATAAACTAGTGAAAAGAACAAATGACACACCGGAGTCCCTCGAGGGGGTCTAGCAGCATGCATTTATTTCTGATGACTGAAATGAAGGCGTTTGGGGTTAAAGTTCAAGATTCAACTAAAATATATAAAGTAAAAATGGGTTTAAAAGACAGGAGCTGGAAGGTGAGAAAAAAATTCAGAATCCACTAAAGAAAGGTGAAGTACATAGTCAATCAAAATAACAGGGAAGGGCAATAAGAAGACCTCTGCAGCCAGCCTGGTATAGCCCTGCAGCCTAGAAGGGGAGAGAAATTCCAGAGGTCAGCTGGACAAAGGGTTGAGGATGGGAGGGGGATGGGAAATGGAGGGTCACTAGCCATGTACTAGAGGAAAAATATATATCTGTCTACTCTTTGGTGTTAGCAAAGAAAAAAAATAAATGTTACCCAAGAGAACTGGAAGGGGTTCTTTGAAGTTCTTCTGCAAAGAACAGGATTTCCTGCACTACGTGTTAAATGATGGTGATAACATACAAGGGACTGAGGCGGTTGTGTCCATCACACGGCACCTTTCCCAGGTTCTGATTTCTAAATCCTGACCACACAGTTTGTCAAGAGTCCAGTTGGAACCTGGGCACCTGGTGCAGACTGTGAGCTGATGGTGTTGTTGCGGGATCCCAAAGGCTTATACATACACACGGTCCAAGGGCACCTCTTCCAGACTGGAAAGCTTTTCTGACATGGGCAAACACTGTGGTTGGGTAAAGTAAGATGAAAGGAAGTGGTGACTTGTGCTGAGGTGGCTGTGCAGGCAGGAGTTATGCTCTATTTCTTTGTATAGGATCTAGAGATTTAGAAAATCAGACTTTAAATAATAATAATAAAGGATATTGTGGGGTTTATATATATATATATTTTTTAAGTTGAACCTTACCAAATGCGTTTCCCCAGTCTCAATGAGATCTGGATGAGGTAAACAACAACGGGGATCATATTTCCCATTGTTTATATCCTTAAAAAAATTCAGATTTTTTCATGCTCTTTCTCTGACTCCACCTTCAACTCTCAGACTGAGCCTCATGCAGGGAAGCCTTCCCTGACCTCTCATTGATGGGCACAACTTCCTCTTCCTTTGTAGGACTCCTTACAAGTTTACGATGGGTTTTGATGATCTGATTAGCAGCCATTTCTCTCTTCATCTTTAAGGACAGGGCACTGAATCTGATTTATCTCCCTTGTGTCTCTATTGTGTCAGTCAGTCCCTGGCTTATCATAGCAATGAATGAACGAACCTTCCTGGAAAACTCAAGAGGACAATTTTGGGGAGTGCTAAATATCCTGTCTATTCACCTTGTAATCTGAAGTAAGCTAAATTTTAGATATTAAGGCACTTATTCAATTGTGGTCAGGAGAAAGGGAGAAAATCAGGATTAAGAAGAAAGCCACACAATCTGGGCTGGTAGTACATGCCTTTAATATCAATGACTCAGGAGGCTGAGGCAGGAGGATCACAAGTTTGAGGCCAGTCTCACAATTTAGGAAGACCCCCTAGTAACTTAGCAAAATTAAAAAAAAAAAAAAGACTGGGCATATAGCTCAGTGGTATAGCAACTGCGGGTTTAATCCCCAATATAAAATAAAAAGGAAGAGGAGAAGGAGAAGAAGACAGTCACACAATGTGTATATTGGAAAGTTGGAAAGTAAAGTCTTTGAAAAAATATTAAATGAGACCTTGAAAGAAGATGCTGAGAAGTGAGTTTCCAGTCTTTGAACACTTTGACATAAATTACCAACAATAAAGTGCTTTACATACACCACAAAAAGCCTTGCTTAAAATCTGGCTTTATACCACAACATAAAACATTAAAAAAAAAAAACTTGGTTTGATTTCCTTGAAGTAAAGCATGCTAAACCAGATAAAAGAGTAACACCCTTCTCCCCCAAAAGCTTAAGAATCTTTTCTAAGATTCACTGAAAAGAATAAGAATTACTGCTGAGTAATATATCTCACATTCACACCCACCATTTTTTAACAAAAAATATCTGAACATATACCAATTGTACATGTGGATAGTGTACACTGATCAAATTCAACCTCCCCACCAACGTTTCAGATAATCTCTTTGTCTCTGAAAAAGCTCCTGAAAGTCATGTTCTAACTCTTCAATAATCTCTCTTCCTCACACAGAAAACTTGCAAATTCTTCAGCCTTCTTTCCCCAGACCCAGAAAGCAATTCCAAAACATTTTGGAAAAATAATCTGGCAAAAGCATTATCATTCCATGTTTAGAGAAGGTGATTTTATTTTTAAGCATCACATAGTAACTCAAACATGACATTATTTTCTGAGTTTACATTGTCCCAATTATCAATTCAAAACCTGTCTCATTGATAGAACAATAGCATTTTCACCTCCGGATAAATTGTGAAAAACACAAGCAATAAGTATGTCTTGCGGAGTCATTTTTGATAGTGCAGGTGGGTAGATTGAAGCTGGTAAAATGATGTCACCGAGTAGATGACACTGGGTGGATGTCCACATGCAGAGGAGGATCCAAGGTGCTCCTCCAAGCTCAGCCTTTGGCCTTTTCTTGTTCGACACTTTTATCAACAGTTTGGATGAAGATGTGAAAAATCATGCTTGTCAAATCTGCAGTTGACACAAAGTTGGGAAGCATGGCTAATGTTCTGGAGAGCAGAATCAGGTTTTCCTCGAGCCAACTGTGTGATCTGGCCTCTAAAAATGCTAACATAAATCTAAGGTTGTTTTAGAAGAAACTGAAACGTCCAGATCAAGGGAAGTAATTATTCCACTGTAGAGTACATTGGGCTGACCACATTTGGCCACCACATTTTAAGGGGGAAATTGACAAATGCAGGGGGTGAGGGGGAAGGTAACGAAAGCAAATAAGGCATCCAAAATGCATCCCAGGAAGAATGGTAGAAGGATCAGGGAATATTTAGTCTGAAGAGAAGATTCTGAGGGTCATGCTAAAAGCCTTCAAATATTTGTGGGATTAGACACAGTCTATATTATTCCAGAGGGCATAATTTCAAAAAGTGGAATCATGATGATAAAAGTCAATAATAACTGCAATTTGAGTACCCATTTTGAATCAGACACTAGGATAGATGCTCTATGAGCTTCACCTCTCATCTTCACAATGGTGCTATGAGATAGGCATTATTGTCTTCATTTGAGGATGAATAAAAGAGTAAACTCCTCACCATCACCAATACCAGGCCACTCACCTCTGGCCACCTTCACTCCTTATGGGACAATGTTTCAAAGACTCAAATTTGACCTTCTTCCAGAATACATTTATTAGCATGTAGAGATATCCAAAGACGAAATAAGATTTCGTCCTGGCACAGGAGTGAACCCAGGACTGGTGGCCATCTGTCAGGAATGTCACCAATGGGACATTGCAACAGAAGGAAGATGGCACCATGTGATCTCCAAGGTCTCTTCGGTGGCCACAAGTCTCTCATTCATGATGCAGACTTCATACCACGGCTCAAGTGTTTCCAGATGATTGGTAATGTGTAACAATTTTGAAAATATACTAGCCTGGGAGTTAGGAGGTCTCTTCTAGTCCAGTCTCTCTTCCCCTCCTGGTAGGCATGGAACCTGGGTCAATCACTCAAGCTTCCCAAGCTCTGTAACCTCATCATTAAAAAGGAGGATGTGGACCACGTGGTCTCCATGATCTTTTCCGGCTCAAATCCATAAGTCTCCTCTGTTACATTTTATGAGACATTAAACATCCAAACAGACTTTTTAGACTGTGATTCATGGGCCTACAAACTTTGATTTTTTTCTCTACAGCCATAAGATTTTGTAGCAGGGAGCCTTCTGAAAATTATAGCTTTCACCAGGCCCAAGGGCTTCCGATTCAATTCACAAAAAGGATCCAACCCAAAGTATCATCCACCAGCCATCAAAGGTACTCCAAAGGAAATAATCTTCACCTGAACTTCTCCCTCTCTGGTTGAAATTCCTTAGCACATCCTTTGACTTCCTCCCTTAACATCCGATGGTACTTTGCWCTCCCTTGGTCTGTCCTGAGACATAAAGGGTGTGAATGGGACGGGAACCAGGAGAATAATGAGTCTTGATTGCATGCTCAGTGAGCTTCAGGTAGAGTGTAATTGTCTCTCTGCATGCATGGGCTTGGAATACAATATGCAAAAATACAACTCGGTATAAGTGAATGTACATCCGTGTTCTTAAAAATAACTATAATTTCAGGGTGTAGTA